ACGCTCAAAATTAGTATAATTTATTTCAGATTTTACTATGGTTCTAGACGCAAAAGCTATATGTTTTTCTTTGCCATCTTTCTCTGTGTGAAATAATACAGCCCATAATCCAGATTTGGATGCATCAGTCGCAATCCCGTAATTCCGGATTATAATACGTCAATGCTGGCGGGAGACTAATCAACTTCTTTAAATCATTAAAACTTCTGGGATGTTCTAAGTTCCATTCCCATCTTTCTTTGTTGACCATTTTGTATAATGGATCAGCAATATCAGCTGTTATTCAAAAATTTTATATAATAACCAGCCATACCCAGAAATGTTGATAATTCAGCAGCTGATTTTGGCTCTGGCAATTATTGCTTCAATTTTATCACGGTTAGCATGAATCCCCTTATCGTCTATATCGTGACCCAGAAACCTAACTTTGTTTTAAAAAATAAGCTTTTGGCGAAGTTAGGTACTAAACCCATAGGTGTAGCCAGGATTTTCATAAGGGGGGGGGGGGGGGGAATTAACAAATTACTGGGGGCTTCGCCCACAGACCCCCTTTTGGGCAGCCTTCGGCCCGCTTTTCCCCGGCCTTCGGCCGGGTTACTTTAGTCTATATATAGTCATAAATATTTTTACAAATTTTAATATAAGCCTGGAACAAATATGAAATATATTTTTATTAGTTTATATGAAATATATTTTTATTAGTTTATATGAAATATATTTTTATTAGTTTATATGAAATATATTTTTATTAGTTTATATAAAAATAAAAACATAATAAATAACTTGTATTGTATATACCTTAATATAAAAGCATGGTAATAATTTATTCCAAACAATTATAAGTAATTTATTTATAAAAAGTAAGTAGACATATAGTTGATTTTACTCTATTATATAGAATTAGTTATAAAATACTAGGTAAAATTCCACTTTTACAGACATATTTGACAGTTAGAGAATATATTACAGTTAATAATTTAACAAATTTTACTAATCAATGCTCTTGATATTAAATATGCAAAAATTTGCTTTCAATTATTTAACGCTATCTATTTGTTTTAAGAAAAATGATATTTAAATTTAATTTTCATATTATTCATCCCACAATGTCTTTAAAAGATATTTTCTGATGTCCTTATCAATATTTTATAGTTATCTGTAAAATAGATTATTCGCTATATAGGTAAAAATTACTTGATTGTCACTTGATAATTAGATATACTGTAAATCTACCACATATAATATTCCCCTGTTTGTATTGTGCTTTAATATTTTTTTAATTTAAGATTTAATTTATCAATAGTTTTAAAATTATATTTAACTTTTATTAAGATTAATAAATTAAAATTACTCACTTTATAAAAAATTATATTTGATATATTATATTATTTATTAATTTTATGGATCTATTATTAATAATTATAATATAATTCACTTCTGTCTTAAGACTTATCTTTGGCTTATATTCCATTTATTAAAAAACATTTTTGGTTCATTTTATATATTTATAAATTTATTTTCCCAAAAATCTATAAATTATGATGAATAGTTTTATAAAAAATATCAACTTTTACATTCTTTTTTTATAAATTATTATTTAAGATATATGCATACCTATTTGAGGGTCAGGGAGTGGGGGGAGGACTAAAGGGGATATTTTTTATTAGCTAAAAATGATATTTACAAAAAGTGATAAATTTCTGAAGTACGCCTATGACTAAACCGTACGATAATATTCTCTCAAACACCTTTTTGATGTTGTTTAAATGTGCTTCATCGTTACTTCCAGTTATTAATAAGTCATCAATATAAAATATAACATCTTTCATATCACAGAATATCTGATCCATGATTTGTTGGAATATAGCAGATGAAGTTTTTAACCCAAAAGGAAATCTGGTAAATTGGTAGTATCCCTTATGTGTGGACATAGTCAAAAAATTTCTGATATTTTTTTCGATCGGAACTTGTAGAAAAGCATTTTTGAAATCGATTTTGGTAAATTTCTTTCTTTCCGAAAGTTTAGCTATTATATCATCTATACGTGGAAGTGGGTATCTGAAATCTTCTAGAGCTGGATTTATAGTGTCTTTAAAATCAACGCAAAGCCTGATGCACCCATCATCTTTGTATATGGCGGTTATAGGACTCGCCCATCACACATCTTTTATCAGCTCACTAATTTTTTCATGTATCCATCTTCTTCGCCCATATTTGAATAAGGTATACGTCTTGGTTGTATTATTTTGGGCGTCACATCTTAAATGTAATTTAACATTTACTTTGTTAATTAGTTAGCTGGTCAATTTGGATTCATAATCTTTAATTAGTTTATTAATTTCGTCTTCATAATTGGTGTCGATATTTCCTATGAATTTATTTAAAATATTTTTAAAGACATTGATCCAGATTCTTCATAACAACGCATTCTTTCTTGACTCTATAACTACTGCTAGTAAATATTTAGTGATTCCTTCATAACTTACTTTTACTTGAGTTGTCCCGATGATCTTAATCAAGTTTCCATCGTTGGCTGTAAGTCGCAATCTGGATTTCTTCATTTCTCTTATGCCAATTTTTTTAGCCATATCATGAGGTATAATGGTATACTTTGATCCAGTGTCGACTTGCATAGTTCTAGTAACATCATATAATTTCAAAGTAGTCATAAAAGCACTGTCATCACCTTTGTCAGTATTTTCAGGTTGATATTGAAATTATTCTCATTATTGTCTTTGGCAGTGTCGACTTTATTTTCCCCAACTTCTTCAATGTTCATATTACAATTATTGTTATCGTAGCAATTTTGATTATCATACTGGATTTGTTTTATTTAGTTCTTCCACCGATTACGATCGTCATATTCGATTTGTTTTCTTTGGTTATCATTATTATGCCACCTTTTGTTTCCTTCATAGATCGGTAATTATTATGATTTGATCGTCACATTGAATCTGTCTCCTCTGATTATAATTACACCAGGCGTTGTTCCTACCGTAGTTGTTGTTATAAGATTGATAATTATTATTATGAATGTTTCTAAAGTTGCTATTGTTATACCGATAATTGTAATTTTGATAGTTGCCATCATTATACTGATTATTTCTATAGTTATTGCTATTATAATTATTATTGTTTCTAACATTATTAAGATTCCTATTCCTGTTGTCATTAACATTACTAAAATTTTTATTACCATAATTCTTGCTAATGTCAAAATTTTGTCTCGTATTATAATTAGGTCTATTATAGTTTAGTTAGTAATATTTCATTTCTATTAGTATTTTGGTTGTCTAAATTCTTATCATTATTTTTATTAAATTTTTTATCTCTTCTAAAAACCTAATAAACAGTCTAAAAACCTAATAAACATTGTCACTTTCTGATTTAATGTTAATACTATCTAATTTTTCTCCTATTTCAATCATTTCGTTTAATGTATAGTTAATATTTTTATTTAATTTATTTTTTATATTATCATTTAAACTAGATGTTCTCAATTTTCTTTTATGCGATCATCATTAATAAAATTACATTGTCTACTCAACTTAGAAAGTCTAAAAAACCAATCCATGTGCCTTGTGATACAAGGTTAAATTTGTTAGTTAAGATCCAAATATCTTTGTATTTTAATTTTTTAACGACAACTCTATAATCTTTGATATCTACCTTAGTACATAATGACTTGATTTTATTATATAGGTCATCAGATAAATTGCTCATCGATGTTTCAATTTTTACTGAGTCGGATATAATTGTTTGAGAAAAATAACCATCATGTCTCTTCAAGTAAGTGTCAGTCAAACACACATCCAGTTTTGGGAACTTAACCTCCCTGGTAGATGATATTCTAATTTTTTCGTCCATATTTAGAATTTGCAAACTTTTTTTAAAAAAGTTTTATTTAAATTAGCTTAAAGATAAACAAAGACATTATAAAGTCATATGATTATGTATTCAATTTTTTTTTTACTTTGTGTGTGTCCTTTTATATCGAATAGATTTTATAATTTATTACATAATTTCCCAAAAATTTTTTTTTATTTTATATTTTATTTTTTATAATTATCGGCATGGCACAATATATGTGAATAACCATAAAAGATTTTATTATATTTTTTACATTAATCTAAAAAAGAACTAACTAACTCAAAAATTATTATAAAAAATAAAATAATCCCAATTAAAGTTATATAAAATATCAATACAAATTTAAATACAAATTTAAATACAAATTTAAATATAAATATTAATAAAAATCAATTTCCATTATTTAACAGAGATAACTAATTCTGAACTAGCATGACACAGCTGGAATTAATCTCTCGGCTAACCAACAAATAATTCATTTTAGTCCTATTTTTTTGGTATTTCTAAGCCCTAAGTCTAAGTGGTCCCTATTAAAAATTTTTTAACCCTAAGCTGAGTTGCTTGCAGTATTTTATCTAACCATAGGAAATGCCATGTTTATATTTTTGGTAAATATTTTTTATTTGTAATAACATTATTCATCTGGACCCCGGGTCTGTGCTCGGGTCTGGGTTTTACATAATCAACCAATTAACAACACTAGGGTAGAGAGAAGAACCAAAACTATTCCTATTCGGTAGTAAGTAAAGATTGAACGATACGCAAGCATGCTGATCAACTGCAAAAATGGAATGTAGCGAGAGAAGTGGAAAAGTCAGGGAAAGAGGAAGAAAATATGGAGTCGAAAATAGTTGAAAGTTTGGAAAATGTAGAAGGACCCCTAATTTTCAACTATTTTCTTTTTCTCATATTTTATATTTTTAACATAAATTAAACATCAAATTTTTTTTTTATAAATTTTATAATATCTTTTTCAGTGTAATATAATCAATTCAAAGTTATTTTATTTTTTTATAAACTTTGTGAAGTATTTAATATATTGAAATAAAGAAATTATTAATCAAAAAAAAGTTGTTAAAAAAATTATTTACACTATATGAATACAACAATATTAAATAACATAATTTTATAAAAATTTGTTTCTGCCCGGGATCGAACCGGGGACCTTGTGCGTGTGAAGCACACGTGATAACCACTACACTACAGAAACACTATCCAATATTACTTTTATTATGATATAATGGTTGACTTTTTTCTTTTTAAATTTAAAATTAGGTGTTCATGTTATTGATATTTAATATGGATTGCAGAAGTTCAATTGACTTAATAAAGGAATTAAATATTAATACCCTTAAAATATTTAACGTTAACCAAGAATGTTTATATTGGATGTAATTGTTAAATTATTTTAGGAAAAGAAGATAAAGGAAATATATGATGAAATGAGACATCTATTCCAATTAAATGAAATCGAGGCGTAAAAATAAAAGTTATTTAATTATAACCTTGTGTACCAAGATCTCGTTCTCTAAATGAAGATATATCAAGCAATTTTTCAACTTTGTTGGTTAGACATGCATGTTTAGAACGTCACAGAAGATGCATTTTCAATTATATGTAACTAAATATTTAAATGTTATTAATAATTAATATTAGATTTCATAGACTTATGTTTATTAAAGAACGAAGATGGGATCATGGCATAATATTACCCACTGAAATAAAGAAAAATATAAATAAAGCTGAAGTTAATTTGAAAAAAAATATATTTTACCATATTCTACTAAAGAACAAATGGTTTATCAAATATACTAATTCTATAAATAAGTATCTTGTTAATGCAGGACTTTCTGAATTAGGGTTCAATATGATATATTCTAAAAAGCCCCCTAAATCAACTTATATTCAAGTATTTAAATTTGTATAACAATCTATAATATATAAGGTTAGATGTTTAAAAGATTATATAGATTATGGGAGTGAAAATGGGGAAATGATTAATTTTAAGGAAAATTCACAAGTAATTAAATGCTAATTTATATAAAAAATAATTATTTAGCATTTTTTGTCAAGATCTCAATGTGAACCCCTGATTCAAAAAGGCATTCTAAAACATATTATTTAAACACTTTAAAGCATATTACTTTAAATTTTGATTTCTATTGTTGCCTCAAAAATTATATATTTAATGTTTATATATATCAGCTAATTTATTTGCATTTTTAATTTTATGCAAAAAAATATTTATACCAACTGAATGATAAACACCAATATTTGAAATAAAATTTTCCCAACCTCCAATTTAATAAAAATGAAATAAAGATCATTGCACATTAAAGCTAGTAAAAATTATGTTAAATATTAAAGGGTTTTAATTCCATTTTTTTTGTCAAAATTTAGTTATGGCAGCCAAACAGTGGCATATCAAGGGTGGCTAGAGGGCTCTACCCCAGACTCCTTAATGCCAGCCAGAATTGTGTTTATATAATACCAATTTCTTTGGGTAAAAATTAGAGGTCTTTAAAATATATCTCATTCAGTTTAGGCCTGTTAAGAATTTTTGCATAAGTTGTGCATCAAGATTATGTTAGTAATGTGATGTAAGAGATTTCTATAGAGTTTTTTAAAGATACTTAAAGGGTTCTATATAGGTAGATAGGATATGTGCTCTAAAAATGTATCTAAGCACAGATACATTGTCTAAAAATAATTTTTTATTATACTTATTAATGTGTACATTGAATGGGCCAGACCATATTTTAATTTTTTTAATGATGAAATGAAAGAATTTTTTTTAAAAATACCCGAACTGAGATTTTATGGAAAAATTACTTAGGCCAGGCCTAATATTTTAAAACCAAATAATTTAAATCTTGATTATTAGCTATAAAAATTAAAAATAAATATAATCCATTTTAAAAAAAATTGGCTGGCTCTGAAATTTAGAGATTTTTTTTTAAAAATTTTTAAAAAAAAAATCTGGGCCAAGCTGTGAAAATGGTACCACTGCAGGTCTCTGGTGTACATAAAGCTTAATATAGGATTCAACCATTAAAATTTAAATATATACTCAACGATTATGAGCATGAAAATTGCCATTAGTTATTTTTGTTTCTCCAAATGGTACCAATACATTTCTCAAAAAAATAAAAAAGTTAAATTACGAAGTTTTTGATAACTGGCACTTTTCTGAATTATTTCAATGAAATTTAAACAAAATATCTTGTTTTAAATGATTCTTAAAAAATATTGAGATACTTTAAAATAACGATTATGACCAATTGTCACTTTTCTATGCTACATCTTCATGAAATTTTAATTTAACAAGTTTACAATCTTTATTTTTACCCATTTGCGTCAGAAATCTTTAAAAATAACGGTTATGAAAATTGTCACTTATCTATGGTTCATCTTCAGTAAATATTTAATTAACAAGTCTACATTTCCCAATTTGAGTTATATAACAATTGTCACTAAGACTGTCATTTAAAGTAGGCTGAGAAAAAAATAGTTTGAAAGAAAAATTCTATACCCGAGAATGTACATACATTTAATTACTTTATAAGGCATGGGAAGGGCTGACTTTGAATGTCTATATTAAATAAGTAATTTCTGTTGGTGTTGATGTAAGTGAAAGTCTTGTTGTCATGTCGAATATATCGAAAACATATATAATTAAAAACTTTTGTTTATTGCATCTCAACTTTCAGTTTATTTAAGGTTTATCTTGTTCTATTGAATTTCTAATTCATTTTTTTCACCGAAAAAACCGAATATTCCTTATAAGATTTAATATTTACCATTTCTCGGAAATCAATGCAAATTTAGGAAATGAATAAAAAAAATAATTCTATGTAAAAATTAATAAAATAATCTTTGGAATTATGGTTAAATTCTTCCCCTTTTTGTTTGAAAGAATATAGCAACCCTGGCTTACGTCCCGAATTATACCACCATAAAAATTCTCTAAATATCAAGGAAGAAACTTAAAACTATTTAATTTTTTTCATAATTACTTATTTCTTTTTATATATCGTAATGAATATCGTAATGAATATTGAAATTTATTATTATTTAATTAATTTTGGAATAAATTTACCTTGGATTAAATTTTTACGCTAATAAAAAAAGGATTCATTTGAATCCAATACTCTAATCGAAAGCAACCCTAATAGGTTATGCCACTCCCTCAAAAAGGGAAGTCGTTCATGATTTACCACTTGGGATGTTCCTTACAGGTTATCTTTAGATTCAAATTTATGACCAATAAACCGATAAAACCGAGTCCCCATCCCAAAAATTCCCGGGTTATCGACCATTGTCGATCCATAACCCATCTCACCGTTCGTGGCGCCCACATACCTGGCACCGAACATAACAAATTCTTAGTAAATGCTCATTAAAAATGTGGAAATGGCCATTCCTATATAAAATTTCTATTTTCATCAAAAAATTTGAAAGACCATTAAGGACATTGGTCACTTTATACATTAAAATCCGATTCCTATTTAAAATAAAATATCTTCACTAAAAAAAATTGAATTTAAAAATTGTCATTTAAGGACATTGGTCACTTTTTACACTAAAATCCAAAATTCCTATTTAAAAATTTTATATTTCACCATAAAAATTTAACGTGCTTTTTGACAATCTTGATTTTTTTATGAAAATATGGCTATATTTTGATATCAATAGCAAATCACATTCCTCATCTAAGAAACTAAAATATTTTTTACATTTATTTTACAATTTTATTATAGCAACCCGGATGTTAACTTTTTAGGGGCACTAGTAGGATTTTTGCCAGGGAGGGTCTATTTTTCTAAAAATATTCATAGTAAATTTTTTAATTAAAAATTTTCAAACTATAAAATTTTGAATGTTTTTTTTTAAATATACCTTTAAAATAACCAAAGCAGTCAAAATATTGAAATAATCTAACATAGAAAAAAATTATTAATTAATATTGCAAAAATCATCTTAAATATAAGGTTGTAGATTTAAAATTTAATAAATTTGCATTATATACAAATTGAAAATTTTAGCCCAAAAATATATTTCAAATATTATTCATATTCTAAAATACTACAGTATTTTTTATAATTTATTATCTGCATTTGAAAACCTCAGCCCAAAAATATATTTCAAATAATTATTCATAAGCTTAAAAATACTAACAATTTGTTATAATTTATTATATGCTTTTGAAAATCTGGATAACTTCCAGTAGCGTCACTGGGAAAGGGGAAGGCTAAGGGGCTCGAGCCATATGAAAAATTTGAAGAGCCTCCTCATATTTTTAAATTTTTTTTATAACAAATGTAATTTTGAAAATGTTAGTTAAAAAAAAGAATGTAATTTTGAAAATTCTAGCTTAAAAAAAGATAATTTTGGATAATGTTAGCTTAAAAAATGGTAATTTGGATAATGTTAGCTAAAAAAATGGTAATTGTGAAAATAATTTTTTGAGCCCCCTAAGATTGTACTAATAACGCCCTTGTGGGCAACTCACCAATTTATCTCCATTAGAGATGTGCAGAGTTTTTTTCGTGGTCCGAGCCCGAATATAAAAAATTTTGTCTGAGCCCGAGCACACATTTTTAGATCCAACCCACCCGAATTCGACTAAAATATTTTTTATAATTTGAGTTTAAATATTATAATATCTAAGAATGTATATTTATTCACGTATTGCCAATTTATATTAAAGTATATTTAACCTCCATAATCTCATCAATATTCATATAAGTTGCATTTTATTTAATTTGTATACATATCAGAGACCCGGATTGAACCGTAACGAACCGTTAAACCGTTATAAATATCAGAACCGTAACCGAACCGATATAATAATTTTTTTTATATTTTAGGAATCAAAAAAATTTGAATGTCCAGAATTATATAAACTTGCTCTTATAGTACTGATGGTTCCCGCAACACAAGTTTCTGTAGAAAGGGCTTTTCGGACCTAAAATTTGTGTTATCGTCACAACAAACAAATATGAATCCATTTAAATGAGAAAATATATTACTTATAATATATTTAAAAATGAGTTATTTTGAATTTTATATATTTTTTTTATAAATAATTCATAGATGCTTATAAAAATAAATTAGACGATGGTGTTGCTTAAATAAAAAAAATATTTCTAACCGTAATGAATTATTATGAACCTTTATAATTAGCTGAACCGAACCGAACCTTTGTAAATTTAATATAATTTTTTACATATTGAACCGTAACCAAACTGAACCATTATAAATAACGGTTCGGGTCCTTGAAACATATATTTTATTCAGTTTAAATATAAAAAGTAAAGTTAAAATACCATCGAATTTGTGATTATATAAAATTATTTGCATGATTGACATAGAAAAAAGATGATTAAATTGTTATATAGAGAAATAATTTCTAAAAATATAATAATGAACATATTAAAAAGACGTGTTATTCTGATTGACATTTTGCTGAAACAAAAATATTTGTATTATTAAGGATATTTGTATTAATAAATATATATCGGGTCGGGTACATCTTACAGCAAGACCCGAGCCCGAGGAAAAAATTTCAATGTCCGAACCGACCCTGGCACGGGCATTCCGTGAGATCTCTAGTCTCCATTACTTCATTTAACTTACTAATACTTACGATCTACAGTGGCAGTTGCATTTTAGAATATATTTTATATGACCTACTACACTTCCAAACTAATAATATTATCAAAATAAAAAATATTTTTGAACAATAAAATAAATTACCTATAATTTTTTTATTATATTGGCAGGAGAATAAATTATTACTAGATTGGCCTTTATTTTTAAAGAATAAAATAACTAATACCTCATCCAATGATGTGTATATGTTAGCGGTAATGTGTTATTTTTTCAACTATTGGCCTTTATTTTTAAAGAATAAAATAACTAATACCTCATCCAATGATGTGTATATGTTAGCGGCAATGTGTTATTTTTCAACTTTAAATCGCTTTTTGAGTGCGTTTTTTTAAATTTAAAAATCTGATTTTACCATAAATGTATTTCAGCATGTTTAGAATACCAATCTTACAGTTAAACTTTGTAATTTATGTAAAACTATGCAAAAACCAACATAAATAATATTAAGTTTAAAGGTTCATGACAAAATTGTCTGAAATTTATAGGGTAGGTATTCTAAACATTCTGGAATACATTTCAGTAGTGTTGTTAAATAGCCCCCGATTAAGATTTAGCTAAAATAATAATTTTTCATCCATGAACAACTTGTCGTTATCTAAAAATCTCTCTAATTCA